ATCTCCTCCGCACACAGTGGTTGCAAGAGCTGGCTATTCTGGTCAACTATAACTTTATGCTCAACGGAATAAATAATCAGCTCAATAAGTCTCTGTGCAGATGAAAAAACGTTAGTAAAATAATCTTCCATAATACGCCCAATCTCCACCCTATCCTTCTCTAATCTCCCACCTTCCACCCTGAACCCCTCCACTCTATTCTTCCTTCTTCTCTATTTGAAAACATCATGGAAACATTTGGAATTTGTGTCCCCTTCCTGTAACCAAAACATCTTTGCCCGTTGCTGCCAAAATTTATGCTGCCTCTCATGTAATTCAAGATACTCACACTGTACCTTGCAAAATTCACCCACACAAAAATCATCTGATCTGCCACGTAAGTACTGAAGATGCCGCCTACAAAATTTGATTCACCTTCCTAAGCCTTTGTTCCTGGATGCTCCCCACATGCCAAGCTCCTTTCCAGAAACCTCCAACTATATTTTAGAATACCCCCACTTCTACCAATAGCCCAAGCATTCTCAACCACCTCCCTGCACTACCCTTGCCTAAGCCAGATATTTTCAAATATAAACTGCTTTCGACGATTCACCTGAGCTCCACGCCGAAATTAATAAATAAGGAAAGATGACTGCTAGGTGCACCTTCAAGGGACACAGTCTCAGCCTCGGCAAACAGATCCTCCCAAGAACTAGAGACAAGAATCCGATCTAATTTTTCCTCCACCCACCCTGAAGTGCCTCTCCCCCTCCTAAGTGAACTGGTAGCCATCAATACGTAAGTGAACTGATTTAAGATAAAATCACATACCAAACATCATATTCAAATTAACACGTAATGCTCAATACATTACATGAGCGATTACGCCATACCAATCATGACCTAAGGTAAAATGTTCTTCTAGATTATAATCCACATTTCTTTAGTCTGGACATAACCACCGCAACAACTACATTTTTCGATGAACCTCAGAATTTCCACAACAAATAGCTCCAATCAATAATTGTACAAAATCTCTATTGAAAATCATAAAAGCTGAAAAACCTAACGACATGGATAAGTTCCATAAACGATTGAATTTCAAACAAAACTACAGCAAAAACAGGGTTTCCATGGAAATTTTAGCTATATAATTGTTAGATTATTGGACTCATACTACATGTAATATTCATAGTATATTATTTATTGGGTTTAATTGTATGTTACATGAATACATGCAATCTTATTTAGGCCCCAAAAAAACTAGTGGTCCTATAGATATTAATTTAAGTGGGCTAATAACTTATCTAATAAGGTATCGGGCCCAAATGTGTAGAAACTCATGGGCTTAACCTAATTAATGATGGGCTGATTAGAGTTAAGCATTCTCTATAAATAGAGTTTCTGCATCCCATCGCTAGAGAGATAATTTGTGAGGGTGTGTAACAACTAGAAGACGCAAACCCTAGCCTCCATCTTCCCGGATCTCTAAAGATCATCTCCAATGGAGTCAAGTACACTTCCGCTCAGTTAATTCTCTAGGTAATTTCAATATGAAGATTAAAGTATGATCTGTCGAGTACATAGAATAAGGGTAATGTGATTTTGCGTTTATGCAATTCGTTCTCGATGAATTCGTCTATTGAATCGGCAGTTGTTGGTTAAGCGAAACGATATGTTTTCATCAGATGTTTCGTAATATTGTTATTTCACCAGCCTTTGGATTGATTTTGAGCATGTATAATTTTATCGCACCAACCTTTGTATTATTTCGATTGAGCTTTGAGATGCTCCAAACTACGTACATATATTTTAAATATTTCAATTTTATCCCAATCTCAATTCCACTTATTTCCACTTCAACTTTATCTATAGTTGATGTGAAGCAGCAACAGTATTTTGTTCTTCTGGTAATCCAAAGGTGAATTGCGATGTATGGAATACAAATTTTGGGTATTTATGTTATGGAAAGAATCGACAATTGATGTCCTGTGGAATTAAAGATTCCTTTGACAATTATGATTTCGATCATTGCCGAATTGTTATTTTTTTGAACTTTAAGTTCGAATTTTATTTCGTCAATTCTCTTATGATTTGATTTTGTTAAGATGATTCAATCATCTTTTGGTTCCATGGTTCACCGGTTGAGAAATAAACGGAAGATCAAATCATAAATGGTTGATATCATTTATCACATTTATTTTGATTTGTTTCCAATTTTTCAGAGAATAATTTTGGAATTTTTTGTGACTTTGGTAATGAAGTACATATGTGATTATTATCGGTTTTGACAATTAAATACTTATATGTAATTATGACCAACATACTAGTTCTATTAGAATTACATATTTCGATATTACTAAAATAAATTACTTGTGTTGGTGATCATGATTTGCGGCTTATAAAAATGTGTATTATGTGTTATGGATGTATAAACCCTATTTTGCGATCGCACATTGATTGGGTACGAGTTTTACAAATTTTCGTTTTACATAACACATTTGCATGTGATTCAGAAAAATTCGCCCAATTTTATTTTTCAGTTTTTGATTTAATATTAGCACGTCCAATATTTGAGTTAGTTAATTGACACAACATGCAGCCAAAGTAGTCTCTCTTGTTGAAATTAAGTAACTCATATATGAAGATGATTGTGTACTTTCTTATTTCATGCGGATAATAATCGGCCCAAAGAAAGGTTATTATTTGGCTGAAATTTAAGTACATTTGTGATAATAAAATTTGTGATAATTATGAGGTTGTCATGTGAATATTGAGTCGGTCCTAAGAAAGACATAATATTTGACATGATTTTATTATCAAAATTTTATTATTACACCAAGAGTATCACTTGCAAGTCTAATTTATGTCCAAAGATAAGATTAGATGTTGCGCTAGGTATTTTGTGACGGGGATTGCTAATATTTAAAATTAAAATTGATCATCAAGTTAATTTCAGTTTCTAGAGCATGTCATTTATATTATTTTTCGTTCTCTTTCAATCAACAATTCAGCTACTACAATATCTGCTAATATTAATAGCATCTATGTGCTTAATGGCACGAATTTTAAAGAATGGAAAGAGAACGTTATGATTGTTCTCGGTTGCATGGATCTAGACCTTGCACTTCGGATTGAGAAACCTGCCGCTCTTAAGGACACATCTACCCTTGATGAAAAGAGGGAGATGGAGGGTGGGAACGTCAAACCGCATGAGTCTAATGATCATGAAATGTGCAATTCCAGAGTCATTCAGAGGCACTATGTCTGATGAGTCTGATGCCAAATCGTTCCTTACCGAACTTGAAAAGCGTTTTGCTAAAAATGAAAAGGCGGAAACTAGTACTCTTTTGAGCACTCTTGTTTCCATGAAGTATAAAGGCAAAGGGAACATTAGGGAGTACATTTTGGAAATGTCTCATATTGCTTCAAAACTAAGTGCACTAAAGCTCATTTTACTTGAGGAATTGTTTGTGTATTTAGTTTTGATCTCTCTTCCTTCTCAATTTAATCAATTTAAAGTCAGTTACAACTGCATTAACGAGAAATGGTCTCTCAATGACCTCATTTCTCATTGTGTTCAAGAGGAAGACAGAATAAAGCAAGATAAGATTGAAAGTGCTCATTTGGCATCTACCTCTAAGGGCAGCAAGAAAAGGAAATATAAGAAAGCTGTAAATTTAGGACCTTAAAGAAAGCATCATAATTAAGGAAACTAAGGAAGAAACTAAGGAATCTGGATGGTTCTTTTGCAAAGGGACTAATCACAGGAAAAAGAGTTGCACTAAGTACCACGTCTGGCGTGCGAAAAAGGGTATGTCTCTTACTTAATCAAGGTGGCAACAATGATGTCGGTCACCTTGATCAAGTCTTCAATCCAGTCCTGCTGCAACGATGATGTCGGCCACCTTGATTAAGATCTAACGGCAACTTTTGATTCTTGCGCTAGGGTTCATCGCGGCGAAAGTATTTGGAAGTGATGACCGCGTCTCTACTTCTCAATGTTATGCGGGTCTAGTTTAGTTTTGTTACTTTGTTGGACTTTTAGGTGATACTAAACCGGGGGCTTAAATCTCATCTTACCCCTACCGCGAGGTGTGGTGGGGAACGGTATGTAGTTACTATTTTTGCTTAGGTTAGCTAGCTTATATAGTTTTAGAGCCCGCTTGGTGGCTCAGTTTTTCAACTTATCAGGCTTATTTGCCAACCTGTCACTAACACATAACTTTTGATTTTGTGCGTTAGATTGTGCAGTAATAAGAAAAATTAAGACTATGGTTACTTTTCTTGCTGTATTGGCTGAAGTTACTGTAAATGATCATTTTTGTTTTTTTTATATATTTTTTTCTTTATTTAATTAATAAAATATAGGGGTAATTTGAATTTGCACCCCATTTTATTGTCCACATTAGACATTGCACCCCGTTTTTAAAGAACTTTGTATGTGCACCTCAATCCCATATGAAAAGACAAAAATGCCCCTCAATCAAGAATATTTTGAAGGCCAACAGAATTTTAATGGAGGGGCATTTTTGTCTTTTCATACGAGGTTGAGGTGCAAATACAATGTTTTTTAAAAACGGAGTGCAAAGCTTAATTTTGACAACAAAATGGGGTGCAAAATCAAATTACCCCTAAAATATATTTTAAACATAATTTCTTTCATAAATCAACAGAATCAGTCACTCCAACCACTTCAACAAATATTACATAGATTTCAGCAGAATCCGCCAATGTAGCTGATTTAGATATTACCAAACAAGCTATTAATGCACTGTAAATACTATTTTTAGGTGTGACTTTTAATAAACTTAACCTTTCATAACAAAAAAAAACATGTCAACATCCATCATAAACTAATCTAGGTTATTTAATAGGAAACAAGTAGAGTGTTAAAATTTGAATAGCCATTGTATTCACAGACAAAAAGCAAGTAAAAGTGTGGGGCTTGACTCCATTTTGTTCTTATTTGTTTTATTTCTCTATTTAGTAGCTTGTTTGTGTTAGTTCTCTGTTTAGTTCTTATTTTGAAATGTTCTCTATTTAGTTCTCTTACCCACAATTCAACAATCTGAATCCAAGTGTATCAGATGCTCCATCAAACATACTATGAGGAGTATCATATCAATATACATACAAGCGGTAGGAGGGATAGAGTTACACATGCTTAATTGATAAGGACTCTAATAATACATGAGCCCAGATGATTATGTAATTATATAGTAATTCATGCGAACACTCAAACGGTGTCATTCAGCATGGGACCATACTTTTGTGCTCTTTCATCAATCCAAGCCCTCATATCAGCTAAAACGCGAGCCGCGTCCACATCCGGCTCGCCCTGCACGAGCGAATGGTACAACCCGTCGTACAGCTTCAGCGACTTGTCAACGCTGCTCGCCTTTTCGTACAACATCTCCGAGCCCGACGGGCAAGTGAGCCCGTCGGCGGTCCCGTGCAGCGTCAGAAAAGGTGCTGTCACTTTGTGGAAATTTTTCTGGACATATTCTGTTTGCCGCGCGATCTCCCGCATTGTTCCCACTCTGGGCTTCCCAGTGTATCTTCTTGGATTTCTCACGATCACTTTAAGCTTTTCTGGGTCCCTTATGGCTTTCACAACCATTTTGTTGTCTGGCATCATGGCCCATGTTTCAGCTAGCCCAAATAACAGTCCATACACGAACAAATGTGGCTGCACAGTTTTTAGATTATTATTAGAAACACACAATTTCATCCCAGATTAGGAATCTTGGTCTCTCGTACAAAAAGAAAACCTGATTTGGTATTTTGGTTAACTTGAGGAACAGGTATTAAGGATTCTATTAAAAAAAAATTGAATTTGATTAGTATAAAAATTTACTTATAACTTCATAATTTAAAATAGAGTTTGATTAGAGGTGTAAATAATCCATAAAACCTTATTATGGAAGACTGGAGCACATATAATATTAGGGCTGGGTCCGGAAAACCGAAAACCGAAAACCGAATCAAATTAAACCGAACCGCGACTAAATAAAACCGAACCGCTAAAAACTGAAACCGAATGTAAAAAACCGAACCGTAGTTGTTTGGTTCGGTTTTGGTTTTTACCCTTCAAAACCGAACCGAACCGAACAAACCGAACTAATTAAAATATGAAATTTTATTTGTTAATTTTTAATCATTAATCCTAATATCATCAATAGTCTTTGATTTTTTGTGCTATAGAAATAATGTTTATGTTTAGTTTAGTTTAGTTTATAAATGCATTTACTCATTCATTTGCCCATAATAATGTAGCTATATTGATCGATTATGTCTTTTATGTATGTATGTTGCAATTTGTTGCATGATTATTGTTTTTAGAGGTTATTAGTAGTAATTAAATTATATTTTTATGTAACTTACATTTTTTACATTGATAAATCAAATAAATATTCATCTCAGCTATATCACATATGATATATGTATTAATGAACTTTTTTCAATCTAGTCACAAACAATGTAAATTAAGAATATATACACTTATATCTCTCTTGCATACTCATATAATTCAAGACATGTTTTTTTATTCTTATTTTTACTTCATTTATTCTAGTATGCTTGTGTTTTTTATGTAATATGTTTGATCCCTCCAACTATTATATCAATTTTAAATCAAATGACAAATTTTTGGTAAAAAACCGAAAGAACCGAAACCGAACAGAAGCAAATCGAACCAATCAAACCGTGGTTCCGAGTTTTGGAGTGTAAAACCGAACCGAAACCGAACCGAACTTTAACTTTGGTTCCGTATTTGGTTTTAGGTAAAAACCGAACGGAAAGAACCGAACTCACCCCTATATAATATCCTTACTTTGGTCTAATTATTAGAGTTATTAGTTAAGAAAAGTAGAAAACACTTGCTTCTTTCGGCTGTACAAAATGGACCACACTCGCTAATTCTGTTCATGTTCCGATCCCAATAGCGAAATCTTTTTATTTTATTCCATTAATAAAGTGGAACATGTGTTTTTTATTTTTAACGGTTCGAAGATTTGCAACATGTGAGGCCGGGTGGGGCTTTTCTTCCTATAAATTTTTCGTCCTACTCCTACATTTGATATATTGTAACATTTTGGGCACCTATAAGAACATTTCCATGTCCTATAAGAAACTATATTTTCTTTATTGTAGCTCATTTTTTCATTTATTTGCAATTAAATTTAAGTTTTTGACAAATAAAGAAAAAGTAAAAGCAAATACGGAGTATGAATAGAGTTGAACGAACACCTTAGATGGCTTCATGGGCTCAGGAATGACAAAAAGTGGGGCCGAGAAAATGAGCCCAGTCCACGTGTCAGGCTCAGATTGGAAGTACATCAGCATGGTGACAAGCCCACCCATTGACTCTCCGAACAAGAAAGCCGGCAAATGCTTATAGTCTTCCCCACACCTAACGCTCTTGAAGAAGCTCAGGGACGCCGCCGCCACCTTCTCCATCTCCCCGATGTAGCACCGGATCCCGTCGGAGCGTCCGTGGCCGAGGAGATCGGCGGCGAAGACGGCGTACCCCCACGACGCGTAGTTAATGCAAATCTCCTGGAAGCTCCACCCGGAGTCCGATCCGTATCCGTGGGTCATGAAAACCGTCCCCTTGACCGGGAGGCTCTTTTCCGCAGGCAGAAATGACTGCGTGAAGAGCCTCCCGTTCGGGGTCTCGAAGTACGATTGCGAGTTCCGGACTCCCCGGGAGGCGTAGTACTCCTCCTCTGGAGTATAGCCCCAATAATTGGGCATAGCCAGCGCTTGAGGCGGCGCTTCTGAAGGCATAGCCCGCGATTGCGGTCGCGGGCGACAGGAAAGTTGGCGAGGAAGTCGGAGAGTGAGAGGTGGAATTTGAGAGGAGGATGGTGGGTATTGCGGGAAATGGGGGTAAAGGTGTGATATATAATTGGAGATGGTGGGCAATAAAGGAAAATTGGGGATTTGCGTGAGCAAAGATTTCATAGTGAATAAGAAAGGTGAGGGAGGGAGAACTGGGGGAGTTATTGGTCGCTGTAGTTTCTGTTGGAGAAAGGGAGGGAGTCTTGGGTGAGTGGGTGGTGGGTAGGTTTGTCATTTCAGCGTCAAGGGGAGTTGGTGAAACCGTAAAAGTCTTGTTCTTCCCTTGGGGACCTACTTCATGTCGCTTAAGTTGGTTGGTAGAGATTTGTTTTTATTTTTGCTTTGACTTTTGTTCTCTATATACCGATTGCTTTTTGGCAAGCCGGGAATCTCCTGGGGAGGTAGTTTGAGTCTCATTCCAATTACGAATGTTGATATTAACACGAGCAGATAATAATAGATTTAGAAGAATATTGCAGAAAAAAAGTAAGAGACGTGCGAATCGTGTTTGTAGGGCATGTGTTTGTAGTCTAGGTCTTAACATTAGATATAAGCAAGTTTCAGAGTGTGTTGTAAGTCTCATGCAGAACAATTTACTTGAGTAATATAATGTTTAGTTTATCATTAAAAAAGTCAAAAAAATTGTATTGTGTTATCGTGTTAGGCCGGTTTGATAGGATTCGGCGTTCCATTGCCTCATTTTAGATGATTCCGGTGAAATTTATTGATGACTTTTTTTATCGTGTTTTAAATAAAATGTATATAATGTCTATCAAATTTCAAATTAAAATTAAATCAGGAACATAGTTAAATAAATTATTTCAAAAAAAACTTCATACTTATAAATAACACAATAATTTTCATTTCCACATTTGACTGGCTTCCCGATCAAATTGTAAGCTGAAATTTTGTGGAGATTCTTTTCACTTCAAGAAGTACATGTTCACAAAATTTCATAAAAAAATTCTTCCGTAAACCACCTCAAAATAAGGCGCCCACATAGCGGATCTTGTCAGGCCAGCCTATAGGATCATTACTCTGTATATATGATTATCACGTCATGATATTTTTCATTTAAGTTCTTTTTACTGTAAAGTTGGACGACTATGCGATCGACTATCCATCAAAACATTTTGATATTCATTTCACGTACATATGATGACTTGGTTCTGTTTGCTTGTAGCAATTATATGAAAACATTTTGATATATTTGAACACTTATATGAACACATTTTGATATTCATTTTGATATGCTTGCTTTCGGGATTGAGTTTTTATTGGTCTTCTATTTGCTTGTAGTACACCACTTGGTTTAGCTTAATGATTGTTTAGAAAAAGTGCACACCATAATGATTGTTTCTAAATGATCTTTTTCTTGCATTTATTTGTAGTGTTTTAGTGAGTACCTCCGATTCCAAACTTTTGAAAGTGTTATTTGAAATAAATGTGTTAACATCTTTTTTTTAACAACTTAATTATCTTGTTGCTAAAAACAAAATTTAGATATTGACCTATGGAATAAGGTTTCGGAAACACAACCAAAAGAAAATATTTTTGCTAAAACTTTTAGTAACAGAACTTCCGACAACAAAGGAACATTGTTGTAAAAAACTAAATAATAAATATTGTTTTCAAATCTATTTTTGGCAACAAATTTTTTTATTGCCCAAAAGAAAATTTCTTGTAGTGTAATTCATTAAACAAAATTTAAAACTAAAATTACAAATAAACCATCCTGGTGTCTTTCAAGTTTGAAATAGAATCGTCCAAAAATCCTCAATTGTTTGGGGAATTATGTCTTTCAAGTAGACTGAGTCACTGAACTACGTACATTTAATCTCTTATACATTTGAGAGAGAGAGATATATTTTCTAGTTTTTTTTATGAGTTTTTCGTTCTCCAATTTTCTACTTTAAATTTCTAGTTTTTTTTGTCTCCAATTTTCTGTTTTCATTTTCAAGTCTTAAAATGTTCATCATTTTTTTTTGCATCTGGTTCCATGACCGGTCGGAAGACCGAAAGTGCGTCTCGGGCTGGAACCAAATCCAGTACAGCCCAAGTAGGGTATCTGGTCCCGAGTATAGGAAAGTTGGGACCTAAACCGCCCGGTCCTGGTCAGTCCCAATGGCTAGTTTGAAACTCTTCACTTTGAATAAATGATTTTAAAAAATGGGGATCGAATCACCGGGTCGTCAACCACACCGGATAGGGAAGGTTAAGACGTTGATCGGGTCAGACGAGGACTGCCGGATCATTGATCAGACTGGATAGGGACTGTCGGGTAATTGACCAGATTAGACAGGGACTAACGAGTCGTTGACCAGACCGGATCGGATCGGGATTGCTTCGGCCATCGATGAGACCAGACAGGGACCATCGGGTCATCGATCGGACAGGGACCCCCAGACCGTCGACCAGACTAGACAGGGACCACCAGGTCGTTGACCGGACTGGACATGGATTGCTTGGACGTTGACGATGGCAACGGGGCCGATCGGGGACGGTTTTACATATAACCGTACCACTTCTTTGGGGGGATAAGGGTCAGTTTGGTCCTCGAAGTTGTAAAAAGGGGGTCAAATAAGTCCTTATATAGAAAATTCTGTCCGGACGTGCCATTTGAGGTGGCTCCCGGTGGAATTTTTTGATGAAATTTTTTGAGCATCTTATTCATTAAGTCTAGTTTACTCATGCCAAATTTCAGATAAAAATTCAATCGGGAAGACATTCAAATGAATTCTTGAAGATAACTGTGCCGTTAAAAGCACTGTTATCTTCAAGAATTCATTTGAATGTCTTCCCGATTGAATTTTTAGCTGAAATTTGATATGAGTAAACTAGACTTAATGAATAAGATGCTCAAAAAAATTTATCACAAAATTCCACCGGGAGCCACCTCAAATGGCACGTCCGGACAGAATCTTCTATATAAGGACTTATTTGACGCCTTTTTTGCAACTTCAAGGACTAAACTGACCCTTTAACGAGTAATTTCCCCACCTTGTAACCGCCCATTACCCAACGAGTAATCTTTACCCAAACCATAACTGCCCCCAACGGGTAAGGGTTATAACCACGGGTAACAACGTTATTAAATGAGTCAATGATATTTTAATATAAAAATAATATTTTAAAAGGCAAAAAATGGCATCGCCTAGCCGACTCTAGACTTCAAATGGCAATTTAAAGATTCTTATATCCACAAGATGAAAAAGAAGACAACCTAAATTAATTTGAACCTAAAAATACTTAATCTGAAAAAAATAATCACGAAAAAAAATATGATAACAATAAAACAAGATTATTAAAATCTATTTTGAATTTTCATTCATACACTATAGTTATTACTTATTACATCTATTTTCCACATATAACAATAGTTTTGGGAGTTTACACCTCATAGAAGAGACTCCCAATTGATTAAAAAGATTGCTTTGATCAGAAATCAAATTGTGTCTCATTTTGACAAATTCCCATGATGTCGTGACCTATCTTAACAATTGCCAAACAAATGGCAAGCTTTCCTCGTCGTTGGTGTACAACCTTCTTAGAGTAAAGGGGGGAACTCACATGTGGATGTCTTTCATTTGGAAGAATTATATCCCCCTAAATTCTCCTTCACAGATTGATTAGCCTTTCGCAACCGTCTTGCTACTCTTGATAACTTGCATAGATTAGCTATTATTAATGTTTGCCCACTGTGTAAGTGTTGTCCGGAAACGGTACCACACCTATTTTTTACTTGTGCTTTTTCGAGAAAAGTGTGGCTAAGAGTCAGGACATGGCTGGACATTCTTAGGGAGATGGGGACCATGCATAGTTCGTTGAAATGGATCAAGAGGAAGAGACAAGGTTCGGGCATCAAAGCTATGGCGGATAGGATTGCTTTTTGCTACTCAATCTACTGGATTTGGAGGACACGCAATGGTACTTGCTTTGATGGCCTTATTCCCAACAAAGAAGACATTTTTGCTAGGATCAAATATATTGTTTATAAGATTTTGTTTAATCTTTATCCGCATGAACTTGTAAATTTTTGAGGGGTTTGTGCCTAACCACTTCTTTGTTTGGTTGGGCCGTTTGCTTTTGGCTGTTTTTGATTTTTTGGCGTAAACTGTCTTTGCGCTAGTTTTGCTGCTTTCAGGGACGGAGCCAGGATGTGATCAAGAGGGGGGCAGGGTGAAATTAAAAAAATTAAATAATAACATATAAAATACACATGCAATAAACATTAAATAATGCACTGCGTAGTATCCGCTGTAGCAATTATACTTGCTGGCAAAGTTGAAAACATGTACTATGTTGCACTCCGTATTTATTAAAACCTCCAAAAATACATGAGTAAACGTCATGCCTATTAAAATTTAGAAATGGTGCTTGCATGTCGTGAAAGCTAGTGCTCTACTGGTTTAATACCCAGACTCTAAAATATGATTTAGAAAAAACAATCACATATCTAAAAATTAAATCTAATAGATGAAAAAGTCAGAATACTTAAATTACTTTGATTCTTAAAGAATTAGTAAAGGTTAATATTTTTACCTTAATAGATTATAAAAGTCAAAATGTTCTTAAGCGTTGAATAAGAGCTGATATTTGTCATGCTCATTGCTACTTTCGTCCACGCCTTCTGTTATTCTAAGCCAGCAACACAAATGGGCAAGACAGACAACAATTCACAAGTATTCATACTTATACGGAGTAGTTTTTATTTATTCTTGGGTTGGACTTTAAATTTCAATGATTTTAATAGTGTTTCAAGCCCAACCGTGAACCGCTCAAATGCACATCACACAATCATATGGATCAACAGTCAAAAATGAAATATTCGGTGGGAGGACAAAAAATAAAATACTACACGTAACTAATACTAGTATACTACTAGTAAAACACTAATTAAAAAGTTGGGAGGGGCAATTGCCCCCCTTGGGTTACCTATAGATCCGTCCCTGGTTGCTTTGGGTTTTCCTTGTCGGATAACCTACGTTTTTGTTTCCCTTTTTTTGTTTTTTTTTTGTTTGTACATTCTGAACCTCTGTCTTCTTGGGTGTTTCTTTCAATATACTTACAGTTCATCCAAAAAAAGGGACAAATAATAGATAAAAATGTAATACAAGGACAACTAAAAATTAATGGGTGGGTATGGGGCGGGTAATG